CACACACACACACACACACACACACACTTGCTGCTTTGATCAGATTAGTGTGTGTCATGTTCAGAGTCGTCTTTTTGAGGGATCTTTCAACCTGACGCAACCTGATGAAACACACACACACACACACACACACACACACACACGCTGCTCATGATTGACTTCATTCACCTTCACACACACACATCAGGTCAATGAGTCTAAAGTACACATCCAACATTTATTAATTGTTAGCATGAAGTGAACGTGAATGTTTTATTGTTGCGCACAGGTGGCTCAGTGGTTAGCACTGTGTCCTCACAGCAAGAGGGTCACTGGTTCGAGTCCTGGCTGGGCTAGTTGGCGTTTCTGTGTGGAGTTTGCATGTTCTCCCTGTGTTGGCGTGGGTTTCCTCCGGGTGCTCCGGTTTCCCCCACAGTCCAAACACATGCGCTATAGGGGAACTGATTAACTAAATTGGCTGTAGTGTATGAGCGTGTGTGTGTGTGTGTGTGTGTGTGTGTGTGTGTGTGTGTGTGTGTGAATGAGTGTGTATGGATGTTTTACCAGTTTTGATATAAAAAACTTGATGTAAAAAGTCATAAAAGAAGATAAGTTTTGCTCATTTTGTGTTTGTGTGGGTTTGTGTCTTAGGCGGAGCGCCCGTGAGATCGTGTGTGTGACTCCAGCAGGTTTGGGTTCAGGCGGGACTCCAGTGATGGTGGATATAAACGCAGCCGAGCTCAGAAACCCGGAGGTGAAGTTCAACTACACTGATGATCCCACTATCCTGAAGATAGAGCCCGACTGGAGCATCGCCAGGTCAGACAAACACACACACACACATATACACACACAGCACTGAATAAGCCAGAACATCAGATCTCTGCACAACTAATACAGTCCAGTAGTGGAGATGGCTGTGGAGATGTACTGTAGTGTTATAGTGATGTAGTGTGAACTGATGGAAAACCACAGCCACACTGTAACACACAGACATAGGGTGCTTTCACATCTGTAGTTCGCTTCATTTGGTCTGGATCAAGGGTAATAAATGATACATTGTTGCATTTTCTGCCGTCTTTGGGTCGTTTTCACACCACACTGCTGGCTTTGGTCCGAACCAGTTGAAACGAACCAAAACGCAGTCATCTGACAAAATCCACATCTCTCATTGGCCAGATGTTGTTGAACATATTTCCTAAACTGCTTATTGATTGGTCAGAATTCACGTGCGGGAAAATGCCAGTGATCTCCCGCAGGTAAACAAAACCTTTTACTCTGGAGGGGCGACTGCGCTGGCTGATTGTATCCCTGCTTTAGACAAACTATACATTACGAGAATGAAGCGCGGCCGCGGCTGGAAAACAGTGTTTAATGCGTCGCTCATCACTTCAGGAGGAGGCGTGAATTAATTTAGCTAAACTGCGACATGCTCATCTTATGGAAATATTACCAATAATCCATCAGGTAATGTTTTCCTCTCTCTCTCTCTCTCTGTTGGTAAAGCGCTGTCAACAAATATTTTTCCTCCATATCCCATGATGCACAGCGCATCAGCCTACGGCAGCTGAATTAGTCCAAAAGGCGCAGTACTTTTTGCCGTTGGACCTGTTTTAGTACGGATCATATTCACCACCTCTTCAAGCAGGTCTCGGTACGCTTATTTGGTCCGCTTTTGGTGCGCGCTCAAATACGATTGCTGCATTCTCACCTGCTCAAACGAACCACACCAAAAGGGGAAACCAACTCTAGTGCGATTCAATCCAACTAAATAAGGCAGGTGTGAAAGCACCCAAAGTAACACACACAGACACACACAGACACCCATATACACAAACACACACACACACACACACATCCCTGAATGGGTCAGAACAGCTGATCCTCTGAGGGAATGATGTAGTCCGGCAGTGGAGATGCATGTGCTGTAGTGTGAACGTTCACAGGTCCGACTCTAGAGCTTTGAGGAACATCACAGCTGACAGACACATAAAACTGATGGAAAACCACACACACACACACACACACACACACACACACACACACAGTGGAGAAGTGTCTCATATACAGAGAGAGAGAGAGAGAGACTGATCCAGACTGAGACGTGAATAAACAGACAGAGAGAGAGAGAGAGAGAGAGAGAGAGAGAGAAATGTTTATTCAAACTCTTCGTATCAAAACTATTACTGACATAAAACCGAGAGAGAGACATGAACGAACAGAGAGAGAGATTAATTATAATAATAATAACAATAATAATACATTTTAGGAAACCCAAAATGACTGTAAAACAAATATATACACAATTACACAATGATTAAACTCGGAAAAACAACAGTATAAACTAGAGCAGATGATACAATGATGAATTATATCAGGGGTCACCAAACCGGCCCTTTAAATATCTTAAATGTTTATCTTAAATGTTTTTTTTTTCATGATCAACAGTAGAGATGACCCATTGTCCCTCTTCCCAACAGGGAAAACTACCAACAACCAAGAACGCATGCTTATATGGGGTCATAGCTTTGCATTTAAAAATGTGATTATAATGGAAGTCAATGAGGCAAAAACAGCATCAACATAACCTGGGGTCCGTTCTTCGTACCTCGCTTAAATGATCTAAGATGATTTGGCAGATCCTGTATCTTTTAATCTTGATAACTGATCTCTGCCTAATATGGTTCTTCAAACAAGTTAGCAAGTCAGATTAAAATGTCTGGATGAACTGATCTGAGATCGCTGCGTGTGTTGTGAAGGACAGATCTATCGATCCTTGAAATCATGATCAGCAATGCAACGATTGGCTGACGGCACAGCAGCGTAATGACATCATCTGATTAATATTCAATTATCCATGTGAGCTAAATTACATCAAATTAGTTGTAAACGGTTTAGTAAATATGATACGCAATAACTTTACACCTTGTTTGGGGCTGTATGCTGGGCCCTTTGATGTTTCAAGAGCAATTAATTTAGTTTTACAGTCTTATTATAGTAGCCATAGTAGTATTATAGTAGCCGTTTTATTAAATTGGTGTAAAGAATAACCAGATGTTTACAAAAGCATATTGGTAAAGGCGTCTGCAACTTTTAGAAAGCATCAAATCATCGTCATATTAACTGCCAAAACATGTTTATAACTGCATAAATGTATTATTGCTTTTAAAACAGTCACATATTGTTTATGTCTATGATCATACACAAACTGTACTAAAGCGATCTATAAAGTTTATATCTATAAGTTTTCTCTTTTCACCACCAGGTGGCAGTCATTGTACTTTCATTTCGGGGGTGCAGATTGCATAAGCTTTATTAATTTATATAACTTTATTTATTTTATTAATAACTATAACTTTATATATATAGTAAAAAATATTTACTATTTTCGAAAGTGTATATAACTACTAATATAAGAAAATATCAGAATTCGGTATACTTTCAGTATTATTTTTGCTTGAACTGAGCCGATCTAATCCTGTTTATATGAATTGAACCTGCTCCTGACCAGGTTTGAGCTTCCAGAACTGTTGCTATGACAACAACTCTCGTATCAGTTTTGAAGAACGAAACAATCCTTGATTGTGTCAAATCGTCAATAACCAAATCCAGCTAACCGAATAATCCACTTACAAACAACGGACCCCTGGGCTTAATTTGTGCCAAAGCACTCCGCATCCGGCACCTCTAAAATCTGATCCGGCACCTGATTTTACCGATCCCCCTCCTCAACCGCACTCCTCCCCCGTCTGCTGTTTACTTTCACTTTCGTCCGCAACAACCCCTCGCTCTTCACTTTCGTCCTTCGTCCACGTCAACCTTCCGCCATGCAATGCAACGCCCACCACCCCCGCTCTCCGCTTGACACCTCTCCATCCTGAGGTAACATGCCGGATCCTTTAAAGCAGTCTCTTGCGGGACCTCTCAATTCAAAAATTAAGCACTGAACATAACCAAAGGGGAGTCAATTTAAACCATGCACAAGGGTTAAAAAACTCTGATCGCAAACTTTGTTAAAATCACTTGCTTGAGCTTCAGCAGAGTTTGGGATTGAGCTGTAGTCTCCACAGATTAAAGTGACTTCAGAAGCTTGATATACATGCTCTTCTGTTGTTAATGCATGTTTTCTCGTGCTTTACTCTGTTGTTTTTCTCTTTGACAGTGGAGGAACTCCGTTAACAGTCACCGGCGTCAACCTGGCCACCGTCAGAGAGCCCAAGATGAGGGCCAAATACGGCACCATCAGCTCAGTCAATGTAAGATTTTACCCCTTCCGGACCTTCCAACTAGATTAACATGAGCTCTTTTCTATTTCTAAAGCTTTATTTTACTTTGAGTCTGTCAATAAAAGTAATAATTGTCATTGAAAGGTTTAACTGCATGAGAAAAAAGAGCTAAACAGTAAATTTGGATCTTGTGTAATAAATCAATAATACATTTTTTATTCATATTCAAACTCACTAAATACCACATTTTATTGACATTGTGATGCAGCAACTGGACTAATACCATAAGTCATCATTTCTGTTGCATTTGAGACATTCATCAGGGGTCGCCACAGTTGAATGAACCGCCAACGTATCTAGCGTAACTTATCTACACGTGCTGCTGATGATGTGACAATAAAATTGTTTTAAGCAGCGGATGCCCTTCCACCTGCACCCTAGTACTGGGAAACACCCATTCACACACACACACACACACACACACACACATACACTACAGCCAATTTAGTTGATCAATTCCCCTATAGCGCATGTGTTTGGGCTGTGGGGGAAACCAGAGCACCCAGAGGAAACCCACGCCAACACGGGGAGAACATGCAAACTCCACATGGAAATGCCAACTGACCCAGCCAGGACTCGAACCAGCGACCTTCTTGTTGAGAGGCGACCGTGCTAACCACTGAGCCACCATGTCGCCCCACATTTGAGACATTAAACTGCTAAAAGCAGTAGTTTTTTTGCACATCTATCAGCTTAGCTCAAGAAAAAAACAGCACAGTGTTTGCTCAGAGCCAGTGTGTTTATGTACTGATGATGTTGCTGTCTTGTTTCTGTATTTAAAAACTAGCATCTCTCCAATGTTATGCTCTGCTTTCCTTTCTCTCTGTGGCTCTAGATTTACACTCATGCATTTAGCAGATGCTATTATCCAGAGCGACCTACAAAGGAGGAACAAAAGCAATTTGTCAAAGAGCCAAGCATATTCATAACATACAGCTCCAGATTTATTACACCAGTAGTTTAGGAAGCAAGCCAGAGAAATGCAGAGCAGAAATAGAAGATTTAGACTATAAGGAATGCTTGATTCTGATTGGCTGATGAGCCTATATTGCTTATATTGTCATACTGATATTTCTGTGTCAGTTTGACACAAAACTGAGGACACTTTGACTTATTCAATGCGCTCTGTCACCTAAACTCACCGCGAGTGAGCTGAAGAAAATAAAAGCACAGCTCTAAGGTAAAACTAGATTCTCAAGACATAATCGAGTCCCGGCTGGGTCAGTTGTCATTTCTGTGTGGAGTTTGCATGTTCTCCCTGTGTTGGTGTGGGTTTCCTCTGGGTGCTCCGGTTTCCCTCACAGTCCAAACACATACGCTTTAGGGGAATTGATGAAATAAATTGGCCGTACCGTATGAGTGTGTATGGGTGTTTCCCAGTACTGGGTTGTGGCTGGAAGGGCATCCACTGTGTAAAACATATGCTTGATAAGTTGCCGGTTCTTTCCACTGTGGCGACCTAAATGGACTAAGCGGAAGCAAAAGGAATGATGACTTGAATTAAACTTGTTGAGAGAGGTTTGTGATATAGGAATTACAGTGGATCATTAAAACTGCTTATTGTCCATGAGCGATCAATATATTATTATATTATATTCTACTATTATTATATTATTCTACTATTATATTATATTATATTATATTATATTATATTATATTATATTATATTATATTATATTATATTATATTATATTATATTATATTATACTATTATTATATTATTCTACTATTATATTATATCATATTATATTATATTATACTATTATTATATTATTCTACTATTATATTATATTATATTATATTATATTATATTATATTATATTATATTATATTATATTATATTATATATCCTACTTATTATATTATATTATATTATATTCTACTATTAAATTATTATACTATTATTATATTATTCTACTATTATATTATATTATATTATATTATATTATATTATATTATATTATATTATATTATATTATATTATATTATATTATATTATATTGTAGATCCTACTTATTATATTATATTATATTCTACTATTAATATATTATTATATTATATTATATTATATTATATTATATTATACTATTATTATATTATATTATATTATATTATACTATTATTATATTATATTATATTATATTATACTATTATTATATTATTCTACTATTATATTATATTATATTATATTATATTATATTATATTATATTATATTATATTATATTATATTATATATCCTACTTATTATATTATATTATATTATATTCTACTATTAAATTATTATACTATTATTATATTATTCTACTATTATATTATATTATATTATATTATATTATATTGTAGATCCTACTTATTATATTATATTATATTCTACTATTAATATATTATTATATTATATTATATTATATTATATTATATTATATTATATTATATTATATTATATTATATTATATTATATTATATTATATTATATTATATTGTAGATCCTACTTATTATATTATATTATATTCTACTATTAATATATTATTATATTATATTATATTATATTATATTATATTATATTATATTATATTATATTATATTATATATCCTACTTATTATATTATATTATATTATATTCTACTATTATTATATTATTATTTTATTATATTATATTATACTATATTATATTATATTATATTATATTATATTCTTCTATTATTATATTATTCTAATATTATATATATATATGTTTGTAGAGCAAGTAGTTTGACTGTTTTCTGCCATTTATTATTCCTAGTCATTTCTCTTATAGGTAACTGAATCCAAAATTCTGAAACAATCCCTTAAACGAGTGCATTTCCACATTAAAGATTAAGTTCAATATATAAATAACATTTACTTGCATCTAATTTGAATAGTTGTAATATTTTGAATATTTCACCAATTATAATAATGAGTTGTTCTTCACAATAAATACACAGCAGGAAGAGTTAAAGCCGTGTTCACCTGAAGCTCTGCACCTGTTATGTCTGTGCGTACGTCTGACATTGAATCACCTTTTCCCAGTTTAACCTTTAAAATGTCAACATCTGACAGCATCTAGACCATAAAATATCTCTATAAAGCCTGGCGAGCGTCCCGCGGGTGAGCGAGACCTTTCCTCCTCCTTGACCTGCAGTTTGTGTGTGATTCTGGATGTTTTTCTCTCTCTCAGAACTGCACGGTGCTCAATAACACAGTGATGGTGTGTGCGGTGCCGTCGGTGGCCGGCTCTGAGAGGGGTTTTTCAGAGGTGGGCAACGCTCCGGATGAGATCGGCTTCATCATGGATCATGTACAGATGCTGCTGGTGGTCAACGAGAGCTTCAGTTTCTATCCTGATCCGGTATTTGAGGCCTTCGGTCCGGCCATGCTGGAGCTCAAACCAGGATCTCCGCTCATACTGAAGGTGAGCAGCTCTCACCATTCAGCCTGCATTTCTTTATTATTGTGGTAAAAAGGAATTGCTTGTAATAAAAAGAGGTATATTTATTGATAATATTGTCAACACACATCATACAAAGACATTTTAAAAAATATTATTATATATTAATACAATATTGCAATAAAATAATATACTATATACTATAATATTTATCAATATATTATTAATATTATGTTTTTAAATGTGTTTGATGCTGTGAAAAAACATTTCTAAGAGCACAAAGCACATCCCACAGACATTTAAAAAATATTATAATATATTAATAAAATATTAGAATAAACATCCTATTTTATAAATAATATTTTATTGATGTAGTCCTAATATTATACTATTTATTAAATGTGTGTATTTTGCCCTAAAAATAGCATTTCTCAGGTAACAAAACACACATCACACAAAGATATATAAACTATTGTAAAATATTAATAACAATTTTATAATATAAATAATATATTATTAATATTATACTATTTGTTTAAAATGTGTGTGTTTTATGCTCTGAGAAATGCTTTTAAGCCAAACTTTTTTTTTACAATATTACCAATAAATCCATCTCTTTGTATTACAATGTTGGAATTTTTTATTGTTAATATATTATTTAGATAATATTTCATATAATAGAAGCAAAAAAAGTACACACACAAAAACAATAAAATATGTTTAACTATTTTTTTTAAACTATTTTTTAATTATAATATTTTGTTATTAATTTGTGTTTTATTATTATTATTATTATTATTATTTTAAATATTAATATTATTTATATTTATAAAAGTAATATTATTTATAACTTTTCTGAAAGTAAAATGAACATGTTTAATCCATT